ATCATCAGCATTAATTTTGTCTTCAACAGATTTTTTAAACGTTATAACATTATTTTTTTTAATCTTTGATCTCATTTTCTTTCAAAAATGATAACTGGGCATTCTGAAATTTGACATGCAGCGTGTCTAATATTCCAAGACAGTCCATTTCCTATCTTTTATTTCCCTGCAGACAACAGTGCAAATTATACGGAAAAATCTAAATACTACTTTATAAGATTAGGAGTAACAATGAAAAGACAGCATAATTATTGCAACCAGTTCTTGGCAACCTGTTGTGATGTATGCTAATTCTCGCGCTATCACCGCGAGATTCTCGGGAAGATCTCCGTGAGGCAAGGAAACGTAATAAGATTCCTTCCTGTCTTTGGTGCTTATACTTCCCGCCAAAATTATAGTTCTCACGAAAGTCAACCTTTCCTTTGCTATGCATTTTTAATTTGACATCTTCAAATCAACAACATGAATATGGAACTTCTGTGTTTGTTCGATTTAAACACACTTTTCAATGACACGTGATTTGGCCTCCGCGGTGTCTTCGCTCCAGTTTTTTGCTTGAATTATGATTTACCCATTGACAGAATTATACACCTGTTAACTTTTAAAAATTGATGTGCGATAGAATGATAATGTTCAATGTGCCATATCAAGAGTTTAAATCAATCTCTTATTTTGATTTCATGAACTATTAATGCTAATATTACAGCCTAATGGAATCCCATTACTACAAGGGGAAAAACAGAAACGTAAGACCTCAAATTTTTGTTGGTTATTATTATTTTTTTTTTAAAAAGAACACTCTTGATGAAGAAACTAAACACAAAAAGTCAATGGTTTAAATGTTATTTTTCTGTATGTTTATTTACATAAGTATCTACTGGGTATATAAACTTTGATAAAATATTCCAACAGTAGTGTTTAAATATATAAGTTTACTTATTTTATTAGTCTAAAGGAGTATGAAATTTCTAAATCTTTAAAATAAAATAAAAACAAGCATACGATTTTAAAAAAAATACTAAATTTAAAGTTACATGAATATCACTTTCATATTTTTTAGATTAATAATAATTTTCATAAAAATATTGAGTTTATTCAAGGACCGATATACTAATTAGTATACAAGCCCATGGTTTATTTCATTTTAGACAAAATTTACTTTGAAAAAAATGAAATGTTCAAATGAATTTCATTGAAAACAAAGACATATTTTTTAAAGAATTAAAAATACATGCAGTGTATGTAAGAAAGCAATGATACATTAAATCTTTTTTGTCTTTAATGTATTCCATAAATAACTTTTCTTAAGATACCACATGTGTCTGCTATATTATTAATGAATGTGCTGCAACTACTTTTATTTCATCATATTTAAAAAAAACATTATGTTATACAAAACGAAATTAATAAATGTCAATTTTATAGATTTCAGTGTACTTACATGTACATGTTTAAGTATAATTTAAAATAGTAACACTATTCAGGAGATACTGCGTTTTTTTTTTTTTAATTTATGACTTAAAATAGTAGAAAAAGGTATCTTTTTGTCTTATTGTCTAATTCGAAATATAGGTAATAAAGAAAAGGTAGAAGAAAAATATAGGTATTCATTTAAAACAAACCCCATACAATTGCAATCTAAAAATCATGTGAAAATTGCTGGGGATAATGAAACATAGGGGATATTTTTTTATAATAAGATATGGACAAAACAAACAGTGAGTTGTATAACTTGAATTAAATAAAGTGTTGTATGAAATATGAATATATAAAAATGCGTGTGGTCTATAAAATAAATATACCAGTATCCAGAATTAAAGAGGATTCAAAACCAGGTAAGAAATTTAAAAAAAAAATAGGTTAAAGTACATCTAATAAAATCCCTTTTTTAAAAATTATATTTGTTACTTATTCGTTCTTGCGATTTCGCTTTAAAAATATGGAAAATTGTATTCTCTGTTGAAATCTCTAGATAAATTTGTTTCATGATTTGCCTTTAATAGTCCCCGCATTTATATTGTATTTCTTCGAACCTCCATGAATAAAAGCTATACCTGTCTGCCGTGTCTATCCCAAGAGACTACCCGGATGTTAAACTTCTATTTGCCTTAATTCAATTGTTGATGAGACTGACGGCTAAAAGGCTTTTATATTCCTCGGTCCCTATCTCCGCCACGAGTCCGATCAAACATTGGAATTAATCCAAAGAGTTTACCGATGAAACCCCCGAGACTACCTGAAGATGGAAAATTGTTCATTTCCTAATTATTTCCCCCCGTTTGCCAATCTACTCGGAATTGCGATACCTTAGATTTCATTCATTGCCTGATCATCAATATTGCCATCAAGAGATTCTCCTTTTTTGTTTTATTCACTTATCATCATTTTCGTTTCGTTTCAGTGAAATCCTGCTTTTTATCTGATACTAATTAAATTGGAAAAAAAGACATCTATGTTCGCTATCGAGAGGTATAACGGGTAGTATATTACTAATTTTAATCAAGTCCTCGGCCGGAATGGTGCCCTGCTTGTTTACTGATCATGGCGATTAATTGGCATCTATTGCTATTAAACGGCAGGTGATCGCGAGGAATCAAGGAATGGGGAGATTGGTGAAAAATCTCAAAGACTGCTTGATTGTCTCTATAGCAATACAGGTATTAACAATATTAGATAATCATTTCACGTTAAATTAAAATAAGATGCCTTCTTCCTTTTTATTTTATATCAGATTGTAATTTTTATACCCCCGATTGGCAGTCTTTTATTTTGTATCAGATTGGTTTTAATCATTTTTATGCACCAGATACGGTTTTAATTACCATGCCTATACTGGATTCCAAAACTAAAAAAGAATCCTTATAAACAAAGAAACATAGATAAATCTTGTTCATGTATGTGATTTTCGGATTTTATCTTCTTTCTTTATCCCCTAGAAAAATATTAACAGCAGTAAAGTAAAAATCTTCAGCAGAACTTTGCAACAACATGTTGAGGAAATGGTATTAATTTTGTCAAATCTAGAGAAAACACATCCAAAGAGTCTTAAGAAAAGTTTGAAATAACAGAAATTTGCCAGATTCGGTAAGTATTAATATGTGACTTTTAAACAAATGACTATCACTAGATTAAAGAACCATTCTTCACTTTTTAAAAACATTATCGACAACTTCTTGCTTGACAAAAATAATTCTATATATTTACATTTGCAAATGTTTTTCTTTACATAACACTACTGAAGGCAAGCGTTTTTATAACTGTGTAAATACAGGTTTGGGGTCAAGAGGTCATAGATGTGCGTTTGGATAAACGTTCCACGTAATTTCTCTGTGACGTCATAAAGGGTCGACGCGCGTTTAGTGGATTACATACACGCCGTTGGGTTTGAAAAATTAACGCATTTCACACGTTAAAAGTAACAATCTGGCAAATACAAAGTATAAATAAGTCACAAATGTAAATATAAGTAATAAGGTATCATTTTTTGAGTTTTATTGAGATGTAAAACGGGTTGACACATGATCAAATCTTCCATAAAGCCCTTCGGGCTTTATGGGATTTGATCACGTGACCAACCCGTTTTACATCTCAATAAAACTCAAAAAATGATACCTTATTTCTTAAATAAATGTACTCGTATTCTTCAAACGTACTTTGTTACATGCAAATAATTCGGATTTTACAAAAATAAGAACTCTGAGTGTAATAATAAAATGATGCTTGCCACGATTATTGTAGGTTTTCCAACAATCTGTTCGACTTTCTGTAGGTAGAAACTGTGTCTTTGTTATATTCTCACACTAAATTGTCTACGGATTTCATCCATTTACCTCGTCATGGCAAGGAGCACATGGGGGATGTGACTGCACTACAGGGGATGCTTACTCCTCCATGGCACCTAATCTGTTCTAATATTTGAGGAGGTGTCTGCTTGCCTCGATATATACCTATGTTACATATATTTTATATTCTCCGTTACACTCACATTTCATACATTTTCAAGGAAAACAAAAAAGGGAAATTAGGAAAAATAGATTTAAAAATATTTATTTATTTCAATGTAATGTTAAACTATATTTGCTTGAAAGCAGATTCACAGCTTTTTCTGTCAACTTACAATTGATTGAACACCCTTCGGACCGGACCTTACCGTAGGGAAACTGCTCTCATCAGCTTTTTATAGTTGATGATATTGTGGTTCTTCTAATGATAAAATGCTTGTTAAAATCTGGAGTAAATCGAAGGTAATTATTCAAAATAAAAAAAAAAAATATTTCATATTCCCTCCTATTCACACTTTAATATTCAAAAATGTTTAAAACGCATGGGGTATTTTCAAAAATATGTTTTTCAGTTATTGTGATTTTCATGAAAATTAAGCCAAAATTTCTTTCCATATTAATTCCACTAAACTGTGCTATAAAGTATTTTTCAATTATTTTGCAATTCAGGAGGTACATGTACATGTATGTATCAAGAGACGTATTAATATCAGATATATTGAAAATGATGGTATAAATAAATATTTAAAAAAAAAATGATTGCTTTTATTGAGATATATCATATTGAAAACCTAGTCCGATCTTTGTATTATTTTATGGAATGTTGAAAAGATTTTGCTGAATATCTTAAGAACTTTTATTCTGAATACAATAAAGACATTTGAAAAATAAAACGGTTAACTATAAATATGATTTGACTTTATAAAAAGATAAAATTCTTCAATATTTACATTATATATACATTATATTAGCTTTAATATTTAGGAACAAACTGTATAAGATGTCAAATATTTGAAAAATAAACAAATATTAAAGATAAAGTTCTGAGAGAGATCATAATATCTAGCTGTCTATTATTAGAAAAGGAGTATAAATAAATGTAAAGTACTGAGAATAGTAAATGACATAAAGTTGCTAATACTATCTGTTTAATAAAAGTAAATATCAAAATCATCATAGAAATGACATGACTTAACCAACGTTAACTCTAGTTTTTGTGCCTGATCATCATTCCAGTCTTTTGCAGCGCTTCTCCATATATGAAGGTATTCCATACAGGATTTGTCGAATTATTTTGAATGGCAGATTGTGCGTACAGTCCGTTCAGGTTTGCAATGTAACAGAATTTGTACCACCAGCCTCCGTGATATTCTGTAGCACAGTGTCTAGTATTACTCTTATCATTGTCCTGATCCTTAGTGCTAAATTTACATCCATTGTGATAATACAAACCGTCACCTAAAACAGAGTACATTGCCTATCAATAAAACAGAGAGAAAAAAAAATCATGAACAACTGTTGCAACCGCTATTGAAATAACGACCTATATTGAAATTATTTCAAAAGTGGTTGAGAGTGAATTTCAATAACAAAAACAGGTAGTAACCGCTATTGAATAAACTATCACTATTGTAATAATTATTTCAATAGTGGTTGAGAGTGCATTTCAATAACAAATTGAACACAGATAGTAACCATTATTGAAATAATTATTTTAATAATAGTGGTTGAGGGGGGCATTTCAATAACAAACATAGGTAGTAACCACTATTGAAATACGACCACAATTGAAAGAATTATTTCAATAGTGGGTGAGATTCCTTTCAATGACGACCGTAGGTTGCAACCACTATTGAAATAATGTTCGCTTTTGAAATACAGATTTCAATATGGATTAAAAAATTGATTTCAATATTAACTAAAACAACATAATCATACACTCCTTGTATTTTCTGGAATGAGTATTGTCGAGATATGTAACAACATGTCACAGATGTTATATTTTAATTTGTTCTTACAATTGGCGCGCATTGCCAATTAAAGCGGCACTGTAACGCACAAATGGGAAAATTGACAAATGTAGATTTTGTATGACGCTTGTTAATTTTGGTCAATTCCTAAATGTATTAGGTTTCAGAAAATTACTTGTTTAAAACCTAAAAATTCTATTTTTTAGAAGAAAAACATTAAAAATAAAAGTAAAAATAATTTTAGTGTGCCCCAGATCGAAAATATTGCTCAATACTTCCTCCATCCCATTGTACGCGTGCGCAGAAAAGTTGAATAAGTTTCCATAGTTTCTATGGTTTCAAGTATCCAGGAATAAATGTAAGTAGACCAAATATGTTTACGTTTTACTATGCAAAATTTATCAGCTTCAATTTCCCATGCCTTGCTTCATGTGCTTCTAGTATATGTAAACCCTGTATAAGCATCTCTGTTTCACACCACAATTGACCATGAATGTTTCTTCACCAATACTTCTTTGACGTCTGCGCATCAACTCCAAGTAATCCAGCAAAGACATATGGTCGTGCAGGCGTTATTATTCATCGTCAACAACGACAAGGAAGACATAGGTTGGTGGGTCAAGCCATGGGTTGAGAGGCGCATGTTATTTGGCCAGTATGAAATGCCGTATAACGGGTATTTTCTGCGATTGGAAATTTTTGCGATTTAACCCCTGAAAGGAACCAAATTAATTTTTGCGTTTTCAATTTCTGCGGTTGCACTATACCGCAAAAAATTATTTACGGGGTAAAGTATAGGATCATCAAACTCTAAGATTTATTACAACACTGCCATTATTACGTTTTGTAAATTCATCCAGGCACATGTTTAAAAGGTGCATGAGAACAGGTAATACACTATTTAACTTGATTAAACTACTTGCTTTTAGTAATTCTTTGTAAAATTATGCCTAGTCCCAAATGAAAATAATTATTGTTGTAACATTACTAATCCACTCAAACAGCATTTAAAATCTAATTATTCTAACACCGCAGACTTTAAGTTTAAATGATCAAAATAATTTAAATAAATATAAATATAATGATAATTAATCCCCCAAGCCATAATCTAAAATACCTGTACACTTAAAATTAAGTGCTATCAAAATTAAATCGGGATTTTCCTATGCTAAAACAAACAGTTGTATAATCAACCACCCCAAAAATCACATGTGTCACATTGCGTTGAGGCGTTACTAATACTGTCAGTTGTCTGAATTGAATGAAATTCACGGGTCAATCCATCAAGCCATGTTGTAAACACAAGCAGTTTTTTTAATCACAGTCTCAAGACAATTCACAGGATTGAAAAATGGAAAAAAAGATCGAAAGAAAAACTGCCCAACTGCTATCGGAGTTACGATATCGACCGAATTTTCTCGCTAACGAAGACGAGTCCATGCTTGAGTTTGCAGAAGCACCACTTATTATACTTGCTATATAAAATAATTGAAGTCATATTTAAAATATTTTGCGATTTTAATTTTTGCGGATATGTTCCATCCGCAAAATTCCGCAAAAATTGGACAACCGCAGAAAATACCCGTTATACGGTATTGATGACGGAGATAGAGAGGGAGTGCGAAGGGGATTTTTTGAACTACATGAGAATGTGATAATGCCACCAGTCATGTTCCATGTGCTACTGTAGCGCATTACTCCAAGAATCCAAAACAAGTGAACGTTACAGACGACCACTAGCACTTAGGCCAAAGATGGTTATTATTATCAGGTATTTAGTGACATGAAACAGCTACAAGAACCTCCAGTACATCCCAGAGGTGTCCCAAGCCATCATTCCATCGGCATCGAAAGCAAGTTTTTTGACTTGCCTAGATAGCCAAGCGGTCTAGCGCGCTGTTCCTGCATTGCTAGGAGACAGATTCCGAAGGTCGAGAGTTCAACCCTGGGCTGGGGCGGAAGTGGGTATCCATGTTAAAGTGAAGTTGTTTGTGCTTTCTATATTAATATTTCTTCACTTAGGGCAGTTATGTTAGTTCAAAAGTTGTTGTAAAATGTGCTATATATATATATATATATATATATATATATATATATATATATATATATATATATATATATATATATATATATATATATATATATATATATATATATATATATAGTGAGTTGTATAGTTGAGTTATAAATATATATATATATATATATATATATATATATATATATATATATATATATATATATATATATATATATATATATATATAGTTCAACTCCGGGCTGGGGTGGAAGTGAGTATCCTTGTAAAAGTGATTTTTCTCTGTACTTTCTATATTAATATTTCTTCACTTAGGGCAGTTATATTAGTTTAAGAGTTGTTGTAATTTGTGCTTTATAAATAAAATTAATTTCATCACAACATGTATTGGTAACGATCCTCTAAAAACTAATGTCCAAATAACTGTATCTCACTTCCATTCTCAATGACCGTGTAGTGTAGGGCAGCGTTGTGAGAATTCCATCGGCATCGAAGGCAAGTTTTTAACTTGCCTAGATAGCCGAGCGGTCGAACGCGCTGTTCTGCACTACTAGGAGACAGATTCCGTAGGTCAAGAGTTCAACCCCGGGCTGGGGTAAGTGAGTATCCTTGTAAAAGTGAATTTCTCTGTGCTTTCCATATATATATATATATATATATATATATATATATATATATATATATATATATATATATATATATATATATATATATATATATATATATATATATGCATATATACATATATATATATATATATATATATATATATATATATATATATATATATATATATATATATATATATATATATATATATATATATATTCCCCTTCTCACTCGCACGATCATTCGTACCATGAAACGCATGATAGCACGAGCGCCTTACGTCCAATCGCATTGGTGCACGGTCAATCGCTCGATCACCTAACCACTCGCGCGATCTTTTTGCATTATCTTACAACACTCGCTTTTTATTTTACAACAGTCGCATATAGTCGCAAGATGTATCGTAGGGTTTAATGCACAACGGTCACTTTAGATCATGTGAATTTCGTACGAATACTTTTTCATATGCGATTATTTCAGCAACAGTTTACAATCCAAATAAAAGTTTTTCGGTCGCGCGAATGTTTTGTCACTTCTAATCGTGCGCCAATTGTGAAAGGGCCTTTAGTTCTAAGTATTCCTCAAAGAATTTACTTGGAATGTATTGAACTGAATTCCTAGTAAGCTTTCAGTTTACCTTTATTATAATTATTTTGTAAACGTACTTTATATTTCACTTTCATTTATTAGTCCTGCCAGCGAATAATCATATAATCTATGTGTTGGTAATGTCTGTTCTCAAATATAAAGTGTTTGTCTTATGTGTCTTGTGTTGTGAGAGCGTGTTTGATTTTTACTTCGTAGGTTTATTTTCCTATAAGTACATTAATATTCCTGTCGAACCCAGTGTTTGAGTTTTATTCCTACAAAAGACCCGATGAAATTTTCATAATTGATAAATTTAAAAACTAAAATTGCTTACTGACGCAGTTTCCTTTTTTTTAATATTCATATAATGCATTTGCATTATAAAATTTAAAACATCGAAACCTCTTAGTCAAAATAAAACAATAAGTATACTTTCTATTGAAAAATGCAGGAATAAATATGATAAATTACACATAATTAATAGAATAGACCTTGAGTGATAAACCATTACTTTCAGGCATTTTCCAACCTCACAATTTTAATGGTTCAAGGTTAGAAAACTGCATTTATTTTCACTGAATTTAGTTTAAATTAATCAATAATTGCAAAATACCGTTACATGTACACAACACATGTTACCATATATTTTTAAAGATGTAAGCTGAAAAAAAATATAAGTTCTGCATGTATCAGATTTAAAAATTCGAAAAGAGCTATACGAGTATGCAGCATATTGCAAATTTCTTTGGCCCAACAAAAGTCTTTTTAAAATTTGCTGAATTGAATAAATTGCATGAGAAATATCAAGTAACAAAACAGCTTCAAAGTAGGTAATTGCCGATTATTGTTCTTATCATAAAAAAAATTATGACCTCAAAAACTTGTCGGATATTGTAATTTTTCAGAAAGAGGATAAAATGGCCAAATTGTTAACAATTTTAGCAATAAAATTTATAAAGCGCAGGTCTGCTCAAGAACAATTGTTACATACTAGTATTTCATTGATATTATCATTCTACACATTATATAAAAATCTTTAGCTTGAGCAGACCTGCGCTCGGTGACTTTTACTCAAAATATTACCGCATATTTGAGTTCATCTCACAATATGCGTCGTTATCAAAGCTCCATATCCTTTAATTATATGTCATCATTCACCTTCCTTTTTGTGAAAAATCGAGTAAATGAGATAAGCCGGAATTTGTTTATCCATTGTTTTGAACGTAGTTTATTGATATCAATCAAAAGGATTG